AATAATACACATACAAAGAGTACTGTTAAAATAAAGCAACTATCAAAAGCGTACTCTGAACTTGCTCCTGCGTGTAGCCCGGAGTGTACGTGTCGCCGTACTCTTCGATGAAACTGCTCACGCCAGAAACGCCTGACAATGCCGATGACGCGTAAGTGCCGACACCAGAATGAATTCCAGAGTCGACCATGTAGTTCTGATGAGCCCATGTCAGCGTCTGCTCCTTCGAGGACATCATCGGAAGCTGATTTTGGTTTGGGTCTTGTAAGTATGGGCTTGGCGGTAAGTGACTCATCTTCTATTTGGCCTTAACAAACAATTATGTAGACAGACTAACGAATTTCACTTTACATATCTCTGACAGTTAATGAACCACCCCAGTGAAGTGGTCATGTTGCCACACCTCAGTGGTCCTTCATTTTACACGCCTCCTAATTATCGCTAGAAGAGATAATACTTCAGATTTCAACATGTATAGTAAACAACAAGATTAACAACTGTATATACTGACAGATTTATATCACATCGAAACTATACCGGTGAGTGCATTGAAAAAATCTACAATTTACTTATGCCAACCGCTCATATTATATGGAGTTGAAGGTGTGGAGTAAACATTCAAGCCATATACATTTCCAAAATACTGGATGGAACGAAACAAAGTGAAAATTATGGCATATAGCGCCGATGCAGCAGTCGGTACTCATATGAATACATACATGACCACATAGCCCACGATTCGGAGCAACAATGAGACTCAGTGTCTCGTATGAGTATTCATATCTTGGTTTCGGAACAATACAAGCTGCCCATCAATCGATATACGAAATTATGAATAAAATTTTCGCTATAATGACCATGCAATATCTGTAGGCGAAAACAAACAAGAAAATATAACTGCGATGTTCCGGGGTAGACTCCACGAACTCTGGACAGACTTTAATCGTTGTTTGAACCGCGAATTTTCTTGTGCAAGAAATTCATCCGATGCTGCCTTGATACAACTAGCTGAAAAATGAGAAATAATTCGGAGAATACTCAGTGAATAGTAAACAGTCGGCGACTAACAAGTCGGTGAAAAATAGGGACATGATCACACCAGAATGGACGAGATGCGCGGCCAGGCTATCTGACACGACCGCCCTTTTGGCTGCAATTTGCCTCTACCCGCCTGATATCTTTCTACACAGTGCAATAATCAGCACAGAGTGCAACACCCAAAAAAACACTAATCAAATGAGAGTTTTCACTAAATACGGCAATGGCAAATCAGAATTTTAACTTCACATAACGTACATTTAATGAAAAACGCGAATCAGAATTAGAAAAATCAATCACACTAAGGTTCGTTAAATATGCGCGTTTACTACATTTCTTTAAAACAAAAGAGTTGAAATACGTTTGTATCATACATTGCACACGCATACAAGAAAACAATTTCCGATTTCGAAACGCGCTTGTCGATGTAAATCCATAACTTCCAAAGAATCCGAATAACAATCAGAGCTTCTAAGGCAGAAAGTTACGTCAGAAGGATAGTCAGTGAAGCGGTGCAAAGCAAATTTCGTTTCTGTCGACTAGCGCACTAAAGATTAATAAAACTTGCTTTTACACGTCCGTGCTTTGCTCTGAATCACCTGAAGAATGGCGGAACCCGGTCGCTGTTCGGCAACTGGCGAAAACTTTGTTTACTTACTGTTTATTGCTAAGAATAAGGTCCCTGAGCAGCGTCGATCAATAGATGGACGGACGCGGCTTCGATTGTACCGATGAAGAGACGACTGTCTGCGTCAGTTCTGTTAACAACGGTTATGTCAGCCAACAAGATTTTTGTTTTGCGACTAGCTGAATCCGCTGATTCGATTACGGCTAATCCTTCGACGATGTATGGTTCTACGCTAAATCAGTAGAAATCCATCATTTCATGAATATTTTAGTTGCAGATTAAACACATCTGTTCGATATTCAGCGGAGACACCTTGAGAAGGAGATACCTAATGGGATAACTGAATAACATCTACTAACTAACTCGGCAGAAGCAAGGTGGGGAGCACTTTAGATGACAGAAGAGCGCTTTGTAAAGAATTTATCAGAACCATTAGACATATATCATGTAACTGCAATCTGCTACTTAAAGCGATCATAAAATAAACAGTGCATGAAAACTACAATAATTTTCTCACGAATAAGACGATCTCTACGATCAGTAAGATATAAAAGATACTACTGACTTGTGGGTGCAGTTCAAAAGCTTTGTACAAGAGGACAGCAGTCCGATGCTTACGTGATACCCTCAATCGGTTGGAAGGCTTGAGATTAACAAACAGATGGGATATAGGCTATCATCATATTGATATATTTAAAGAGGACACAAAAGAAGGTCCAACACGGTCGAACATAAGCTACATTGTAAGCTCTAGACGACGCTTCATGCATTTCATTAATCTTTTACGTCCGTATTTCAATGTTCCCAAATTTGTATTGCCAGCTATTGCGCATGATACGCTAAACCTATCATCACTGTTTTCAAAGTACTGGGGCAACGATATAGCGAACAGAGTAGATCAAGACAAACATTCATCATAAAAACGTATTCTCAACTATGGCATTTACTTGATCTGGCTGAAGCAGGATGCAAAGACTTCGTTTTCAACTTTGTCCTTTCCAAAAAGCAAAACTGCGATTACAATATCTGGAACATATTTTCCAAAAGGATGATAGAAATCCTCTAAGGAAACCTGACAGATTCAAAAAATGCTGCCTCCAACTTAGTTAAGCACTCCAGGTTACGAAGCCAGTTTACCAATTTTCTGGAAACCATCAATCACGCGGCTGAAAAACATCGATGACCAAGAAATGTTGAGCACGACCATGAGCATCTTGATGATGGCGGTTATTAGAGGAGCTCCAGCTACGCGATTTACAGCATGATAAAGATATGAATTATACTGAATTTACATGGTTGTCTGTATGACTCATGGTTCGGGGCACCAATTGCAGCAGATGGTAAAACCGTTTAAAACGCGTTTCACTGCACAGGCCACAGCACCATCAGGGCTGCACTGTGTACAATTGACGGATTGAAGATATATATATAAGCGAACAAAGCCAATTTTTCAAGTGGCTCATCTCATACAGCCAAGACGTTACATTGTTGACTAAACAAAGTATAATGTCACGTCGAAATAAATCGGATCTTCGTCATTTTGACCCGATTTTTCGTATCAGTTTTGTGACTGCACCCCAGCTTTCACCGATAACAACAGAAGATGTGTTTCGTTGCACATCAGGTTTTTCATTGCCAGTATATAAAAAGACCTTACCAGTAGACATGATCTAGATTGCTCGTTGTCTGTGACAAACACACTGGTCTGACTGAAAGAATGCTCTTCAGTAATCGCATACTGGGCAATACCAGATCTGTCAGCCTGCCCAAGGTGGATCGAAGCAAAGTGCTCTTTTACACGGATATTCAATTTCCGGTTGGTCTTTCAGATGTCTCGGTACTGAACTTCGCATACAACATTTAACTCATCTTCATGGTTATTAATGAGCATGTACCTTTTATATAAAATGTCGCTCAATGTTTCGCCAGTCTTTGCAGTAAACCTTAAACCCCATGAGGTACTCCGAAAAAGGTTGTGATACCTGGAGTATGAACGATAAAATTGCCATTGGCCCAGAGGAACTATCCAACTTTAAATTTAAGCTGGGGTGCAAAGGTGCTTCGTCAAGGATTCTCCTTCGGTAAACGTTCTTTAGGAACGTTAGGTGAAGATGCTGAATTTCTGCGTTTAAGCCCGGAGAGTTAATGCAGGGCTCTTGGGCTCGCATACATATGCTCTTCACCACGTTCCTCAATAGTTCAGGAGGGACACACGACTCCGGGTGTACGTTTCCCGATATACGGAAACCCCAAATTCTAACGATGACGTCCTCTTCACCAGCACATTCACAAAGGACACAGTGGTTAACTTCCACTTCCGTAGTAAAGCGTATTCGATCATTTCAGTTCGTCCTCATTTCGTGTTGAGAAATTATTGCGTGGATGATTTAATGATTATCTTTGGTCCTGCGATCAACGGCACCAGTTTCAAATTCGCGAAAAGATACATACAACCACATGCACGGCGTTATGAGGGGCTCCCTGCGAGTAGTGTTTTAACTGATCTCTATATGGACTACTTAGAGGTGAAAACCCTTAAGAAATTTCTGCCAGAGTTCCGACCACTGCTGTATGTTCGATTCGTTGATGACATTTTCCTACTATTCCAACGAAATGAGAACGAACCTTTCGACAACACCATACTCAACTTCAAGCAATCGCGTTAGTACTGTTCCAATAAAACAAAAAGCGCTGTCTCAATTAAAAAACTGTTGAACAACATACTACAGCCTTGACGTGTACGCACAATGGCAGGGCCGTGTAAAGGATCATTCTATGTTTAATCAGGCATTGATATTCTCAACAAATTTAGATTATGACAAGAAGATTAGACCCGTCTTAAGAACTACCTAACATAAATCCATCAATCGAGTATGACAGCTTTTCAGTGGGAAACTGAAACACTGCAGATGTCGATCATTCTAACAAAGGCAACAGGATAAACAATACACAGGCTGATCTGCTTTGTGCGATTAACTGTTCTTAATACCATGCTGTAACCAAAGCTTTTCACCAAAAATGCTGCAGTGATAACAGCACAGTGAACGTGACAAATTGCAGACGTTGTTCTGATGCACATGGCTCCATGTGATATCACAGCAACAGTAACATGACAGAGAAATCCCTTTTCCCTTCCAGAGAAAACTGCAACTTTTCTGAAAACTACAGCCATGGAAAAAAACCAAACGAAGGGCATACAGAACGGCAGTTAGGTAAAGACGTCTTGTGGTCATTCATAGAGTGTATACCAAACCGCGTTAGTTTCTGTACAATTGCGGCAGGGCATCATATTGATTTAATTTTCCTCAAATCAACGACCTCGACCTGCAGCACGTCTTTGACTGATTAAATCGTAGCAAGTCTGCGAATGAATTCGATATTGATTGTAGGAAGTTTCACTCATTAAACACAGATGTCCAGAAGTATTCCTTTGCAGAGCAAATAAAGCACGCAAACAAATTAAATAAATAGCGATAAGACTAAAACAAACACAAGGATCTTCAGCTTGTGGGCTTATGTTTTTTTAGTCTAATTGCAACAGACCCAAACGAACAATGATACTTTATTGTTCAAGTACGATGACCACATGATGAAAAATAAGTTTTATATGTTATAATATTTGATCAAGGGAATCAAGAGAAAATATGAAAAATTTGCCGCACCTCAGTGCGCATTTTAAACTTTGGTAGGAAGAGTCAATGAAAGCTGAACTGCGCTACTATTCTAAAACTAATGTTTTAGATGAAAGGAAAAAAGTGCCGAGAGATCATATTAGTTTAAATAACATATTTACACAGATTTAAACAGGTCAGGTAAAATCATTGTGCCAATTATATCTACATATCACTGCAGTTTCATACTTATGGCATCGGTGATATGTGTCGAATCACGTCACTAAATGAAAGATGTTGGTGTCATCATTATCCTTCCTATGTCCTACTTTCACTACCTCAAAAAGTGAACAATGAATTCTTAGGATGATGTAGAACAGAGTCTCTAGGATTGGGCATGATGCTGTGGAAGCTAGAGAAATTTACCCGATCGAGTGGAAGTGGCAAAGGCCTGGCCAGGATGGTGCGTTTTGGTTATAGTGCGTTGCCAAATCCCCCAAGAAAATCACAACCGAAACAAAGGTCCTCGTTACCCGTAAGTTGTATTTCCGCCGGCGGGGCCAGCAGCTGGTCAGGCATGAGAGGCAGAAGATTTTAAGAATACACGGATTACGGATCGCAGCTACTATGGTTTCCATTAACAGCAGATCATTTCTAGGCGAAGCAAGACTACAAGAACTGGAAGAACATAGGAAAATCAAGTGAGACATTGTTATTGCTGTTATCGTCATCTGGAGCATCAGGATAAAATATTCAGATCAGTGACGTTTGGGACATTCTATGAATCAGCGAAGTTAGACAAAAAGCAAAATGACGAAGCACTACTAGAGCTTAAAACTGGGCACCTCTAGTTCTATAAAAGATCAGCAAATGGAAGAACAAGGGGAGTATAGTTCATTATCTACAAACGATTAAAGAACAATGCAATACAAGTGAATATCACTTCAAAAATGTGCAAGACTGGCTCTGAGAATTTCAGAGATATGAACTTCAAGTGATTCAAGTGTTGCGTAAGGCATCAAGCCATCGTGATGAAGAGATTTTTACGAAGAAATACAATCAGTGCCTGAGAATGGAAAGCCTTTACACGTTTACCAGTTGTGAAATAAACGCTACAGACCGCACCACAAAAAGGAATGCACATTAGGCTGATCTGATTACAGTTAAAGGAACAACATGGGTGACCGAGTAGTGGAATTTGCTGAAATGAACATGTTATTTATCATGAACACCTTATTCAGAAAAACAAGCAGAAAATTAGATGGAAAGACGAAAATGACGTCAGGACTGAAATCGGTTTCATCTTCAGTTGCATGAAAACTAGCGCGCAGAATTCGCGGAGCTGAATAGGTTTAATACAGGAAGCGATCACTGACTAATCCGATGCGAAATGCTTCGGGACTCTGTGTTGGAAAGAAGTGCATGCTAGCATAACCCTTGAAAATTTATGAGTGAAGCACAATCAAAAAAAAAATTATCGTAAAATTCATTCTATTTAGTTAAATATGCACATTTAAATATACTTTATAGC